GTCTGTCGCGATAAGAATATGTCTGTCATTACCTTATTGTGCAGATTAAAATTTTATTTTCATCAATAAAACTGTCATCATACGACAGATTTTTTTATAGTCTATCTGAAATCTGTCATAATATAAAAAAAATCTCTCATAACATAAAATATTTGGGTTGTGAGTATATGTCATTCTAGCAATTTATATTTTTATATAACAAATCTGCTATCACACTCCAGATTTTTGTTAAGAAAAAAAAAACTGTCATAACATAAAATAAATCTGTTATCACTAATAAGTCAAACTAGTAATTATATTTTTAATAACAGATCTTCTACATTATAATAGATTTTTCTCGAAAAATATAAGTCTGACGCCACTAAAACAATAAATCTGCCACACATTTTAATAAATCTGTCAAAATTACGAAAGTCTGTGGTGTCATCATAAAATAAGTCTGTCGTGAGAAAAAAATCTGCTACAAATTAAATATCTGTCGTAACCTATTTTAAGTAAGTCTGTAGGAAAAAAAAAATCTGTCGCAAAAAATCTGTCATAGAAAAATAAGTCTGTCATGGTAAATAAACCTGTCACAACTAACCCAGCAAATTTTTCAAATAATTTTTTTTTTCCAAATTTTTTTTCACCACGTTTTTTAAATATATTTAAGGATATTTTTGACTTTTTTTTATTCCTAACAAAGAGAGAAAGGGTATTATGGTCATGAAAATAACTCATTTAACCCCTAAATTTTTTGAGACATTCTAGTAATTAAACTCATAATTTGGGTTAATCTAGTAACTTTCCCTAAAGTTTAAGGGTTAAATTGTTTTAAATTTTACTGACAATCATTATTATTTTTTAAAATTAAGTTTAAGTGTTAAATCTATATTACGAGAAAACATTGTCGAACTTCGAACACCAAAGCTTACGGACCAACTAAGAACAGGATGTCTAGGCGCGGTTAGTTTTCGACGTGTTTAAAAATTTTAACACTTAAACTAATTTTAAAAAAATTAATAGTAAAATTAACATGGTTTTAGTTAAAAGATTATTTTCTTAAAGTTTAAGTGTTAATTATTTTAAATTTTAGTGATAATCATTATTATTTTTTAAAAATGAGTTTAAGTGTTAAATCTAATTACGTGAAAAATGCCGAACTTCGAACACCAAAGCTTACGGACCAACTAAGGACGGGATGCCTAGGAGCGATTAGTTTTGACGTGTTTAAAATTTATCACTTAAACAAATTTTAAAATTTTTTAAATAAAATTTCATGATTTTATTCTTAAAATTTATGTGTTAAATTATTTTAAATATTAGTGAAAATCATTATTATTTTTTAAAAATGAGTTTAAGTGTTAAATCTATATTACGTGAAAATATTGCCGAACTTCGAACACCAAAGCTTACGGACCAACTAAGGACATGATGCTTAGGCGCGGTTAGTTTTTCATGTGTATAAAATTTAACACTTAAACTAATTTTTAATTTTTTTTAATGAAATTTCATGGTTTTATTCTTAAAGTTTAAGTTTGTTTTAAATTTTAGTGAAAATTATTATTATTTTTTCAAAATGAGTTTAAGTGTTAAATCTTTATTACGTGAAAACATTGCCGAACTTCGAACACCAAAGCTTACGGACCAACTAAGGACGGGATGCCTAGGCGCGGTTAGTTTTCGACGTGTTTAAAATTTAACACTTAAACTAATTCTTAAATTTTTTAATGAAATAACATGGTTTTATTCTTAAAGTTTAAGTTTGTTTTAAATTTTAGTGAAAATCATTATTATTTTTTAAAAATGAGTTTAAGTGTTAAATCTATATTACGTGAAAACATTGCCGAACTTCGAACACCAAAGCTTACGGACCAACTAAGGACGGGATGCCAAGGCGCGTTTAGTTTTCGACGTGTTTAAAATTTAACACTTAAACTAATTTTTAAAATTTTTTATTGAAATTACATGATTTTATTCTTAAAGTTTAAGTTTGTTTTACATTTTAGTGAAAATCATTATTATTTTTTCAAAATGAGTTTAAGTGTTAAATCTATATTACGTGAAAACATTGCCGAACTTCGAACACCAAAGCTTACGGACCAACTAAGGACAGGATGCCTAGGCGCGTTTAGTTTTCGACGTGTTTAAAATTTAACACTTAAACTAATTTTTAAAATTTTTTTAATGAAATTACATGATTTTATTCTTAAAGTTTAAGTTTGTTTTACATTTTAGTGAAAATCATTATTATTTTTTAAAAATGAGTTTAAGTGTTAAATCTATATTACGTGAAAACATTGCCGAACTTCGAACACCAAAGCTTACGGACCAACTAAGGACGGGATGCCTAGGCGCGGTTAGTTTTCGACGTGTTTAAAATTTAACACTTAAACTAATTCTTAAATTTTTTAATGAAATTACATGATTTTATTCTTAAAGTTTAAGTTTGTTTTACATTTTAGTGAAAATCATTATTATTTTTTAAAAATGAGTTTAAGTGTTAAATCTTTATTACGTGAAAACATTGCCGAACTTCGAACACCAAAGCTTACGGACCAACTAAGGACGGGATGCCTAGGCGCGGTTAGTTTTCGACGTGTTTAAAATTTAACACTTAAACTAATTCTTAAATTTTTTAATGAAATAACATGGCTTTATTCTTAAAGTTTAAGTTTGTTTTAAATTTTAGTGAAAATCATTATTATTTTTTAAAAATGAGTTTAAGTGTTAAATCTATATTACGTGAAAACATTGCCGAACTTCGAACACCAAAGCTTACGGACCAACTAAGGACGGGATGCCTAGGCGCGTTTAGTTTTCGACGTGTTTAAAATTTAACACTTAAACTAATTTTTAAAATTTTTTAATGAAATTACATGATTTTATTCTTAAAGTTTAAGTTTGTTTTACATTTTAGTGAAAATCATTATTATTTTTTAAAAATGAGTTTAAGTGTTAAATCTTTATTACGTGAAAACATTGCCGAACTTCGAACACCAAAGCTTACGGACCAACTAAGGACGGGATGCCTAGGCGCGGTTAGTTTTCGACGTGTTTAAAATTTAACACGTAAACTACTTTTTAAAATTTTTAATGAAATTTCATGGTTTTATTTTTAAAGTTTAAGTGTTAAATTTGTTTTAAATTTTAGTGAAAATTATTATTATTATTTTTAAATGTGTTAGTGAAGGTTTTAAAGTAATTAGTTTTAGTTTTACTTAAACTAATTATTAAAGAAAGAAAAATAAGATTGAAAAAAGTAATACCTTGTTGGATTTTGTAGCAAAGAAGGCCCATACAAAAAAGCCCATTCGAACTTGGAATGATTGCTTTCTTTCTGACTTGCTTCAGGGCATGTGAATGGGCTTTTTGTTGGGCTGAAGATGAGATTGCAATCCAAGACCTTCTTCTCCACCACCGTGTCCGTCACCGAGAACGCAAAAGCTTCCGATGATCCTCCTGAACCAGAGCATTGAAGATAGTGTAAACAAGATCCGACGTCCTTGAAGTCAAACAAAACCTCCCAAGTCAAACAAAAGCTCCGTAGACGACGAAGACTGACAGAAGATCGAGAGACGAAGAAAGAAGAAGAATCAGAGCATCATCTTCTTCATTCACGCCAAAGATTTTTCCAGAGAAAATCATGAAGTTCGAAGAAATCAAATATGAAATTGAAGCAGGAACCGATGAAGATAATGGTAAAAAACCAGAGCAATTGGCGCACATAATTTCATATCTCTCACTCTATACCTCTCTCTCTCAATCTCTCTGTTTTTTTTGATGAAACTAAAACAACGATTACACATAGAGAGAAGAGAAGGCTCGAGACTCTATATTTATAGACTCATCTTATGTGTTTGGGATCAAAGTTTCCTTTTTTCACTCTTTTGTATTGTTTCCTTTTTTTTAACACAACGGTCAAAAAAGCAAAGTATCTAAGCGTATCTTCTAATATACAACGGTCGTATATACTCTTTTCCTGTTGTTTTTCCTTTTTTGAAACAAATCTTCTGTATTGTTTCCTTTTTTTCACTTGGGTTCGAGAAAGTTTAGAGCAAAAATAGATACGGCTTACCATAGCCAAGATTCTAGAGCGAAGAAGAAAAAGATACTTGTGTTCAGGATTTCAATACTGAGATGGAATCAACTAAGGCAGAGGCAGAGGCTCATGATTTGCTAGAGAAGGAATTGGAAGAGGTAGCTACGGATTGTAACCAAATGAAAGAGAGCGCTTGTGGTTGCAGAAACAGAGCTTGAAGCTACAACGGAAGGAGAAACTCGACGAAAGAAGATGAGAAGAATTCACTTCTTGATGATGAGAACAATATAGGTTTTGCTTGAAGCTCTTGTTGCTGCTGAGAATTTGAGCAAAAACGCTAACGAAGAGAATCATAAGCAATATCCTTTTATTATATACCCATCAATCAATACTCACAATTCTTCTGCAAACACACAAAGCGATACAAAAATTTCAGATTTTGCAATTTCCCTTAGAATAAATTGAAAACAGAGTGGCCCTGTTTTTGTGTGTTTACCAAGAAAGAATTGCATTTTGTTAAGGATAATCTTTCTCGGTGTTTTTGTGTGTCAAGTCTTTAGCTTTGGATCTGGTGATGAACAATAACCATTCAGGTCAAGGAAATGATCATAAAGATGATGTTGGTTTAGAGCTTGAGCTTAAGGTCCATGCCTCTTCTTCAGCTCAACAGGAGAGTGAATTCTTCAATAGTTTTGCCAACAAGCTCTATCTGTGTTGTTACTATGTATATATCTCATCATGGACTAACCAAAGTTTACTTCCATGCAGGATGTTTCTGGAAAAGAGAAGAAAGGAAGCTTGACATCCACTGCAAGCTCATCGAATAATTACTCATCATCTCAAGCTGTTCAAGATAGTTCCCCGGGTACCCTAAATGACATTTTGAAGTCATAAACTGATAAACATATTCCCCTAAGCCTTGTGTTTAATACCATGATTGAGAAAGGTACTCAATATATAATCCCACCAGATACTAAACTTGTTGTAGATTATCCCCATGATTAACTATGTATTATTATCACAAGCAAATAAAACACAAAAGCATTTTTGCGTGTATCTCTTTGCAACTGAACTATTGTATTGGACCAATGTTATAAGACGTGAGAAACATTTCCTAACCTTGCGACCAGATGGGTGTTCTCAGTATCCTTTATACAATTCCACTAGCCTCTATACCATTTTCTTGATCTAAGAGCGACAAGTGACAAATAACGTGTTGAGTACATGGGAGATCAGAGTTTGTGGACTTGGTGATTTGTGAAGTAATTTACATCTTTTGTGAAAGCTGGTAACCAGGAGGGCTTTTAACATTTCTTGACTTGAGGCTTGCACTTCTCAAAAGTCTGCGAAACTCATTGATGCTGATTCTCCCATCTTTATCAATGTCGGCTTCTTCAAGAAGGGGTTCGATGGAGCCTTTCAAACCCGTTTGCTGCAAACATTTATTCTCAGAAAACAAGGTAGACAAAGAGGAGAATGTATAAAGCATGAGACTGACCAATCTAAGTTCCTCGGGAGTTATAAACCCATCTCCGTCTATGTCAAACTTGTCAAATGCTGCTCTTGACCTCTGTTGCCACTTCTCAGAGTCATGCTCCTCCAATTGGTTCACGTGCAAAGCAGCCACCACAAACTCAGTGAAATCCACCAATCCATCAGTGTTGCTATCAATCTGCAAAGACACAGACACATTTTGGATGATACACTAACCTGTGGAAGAGGCTTTAGTCCTAATATGTACTCAGTTTACCTACCGCTTGAAGAATCTCTGCAACTCTTGCATCCTTCAGTTTCCAAGGAACATCTTTCGCAAGAGCCTGTTAAGATTAGAAAGTTAACAAACTCTGTTGCAGTCATGCAGTGAAATCGCTTACTTATGTTGTCTTCTTCTTACCTGCCTCATCTCTTCAAGGCTTATCGAACCGTTCTTGTCAATGTCAATCGCATCAAACTGGTCTCTGAGATCATCCAGCTCATCCTCATCAATTGTTGTCGCCAGAGCCTCCAAAAACACAACAACTCAGGTAAAGAAAAAACTCAAAAACTTTCATATGAAATACAATCTCTCTCTCTTTCTTGATTACCCTCAGAGCAATCTGCTTAAGGCGGCTAAATTTCACAAACTGACGCATATTGTTAAGAACAGATATGTCTATTGGAACCTCTGAGGCCTCACCTCCTTCTTTCACCCATGGATGTGCTACAAACCAAATCCAGAAGTTAAGTAAATATAACCAAAAAAACAGTGGAAATATATGGCATTTGCATATGAAGAACCACGCACATAGCGCTTGAGCTGCTGTTAACCGTGCCCGCGGCTCCTTAACTAACAACTTCTTCACGAAATCTTTGGCACCGTTGCTGATGGTTGGCCATGGGACTTCTCTGAAATCAGGTTTTTTTCTCATGACCTGATTTCCATGAACAAAACACGTTATGGATTGGATTGTTTTAGATTTTTGTTTTATTTTTCTCAAGAAGAGAGTACTAGACCTCATTGAATATTCCGTCTTGAGTCTTATCCCAGAAGGGTCTTCTCCCGCAGAGAAGAATGTAAGTGATGACACCAATACTCCAAACGTCTGATTCAGGTCCTGACCTACGTTTCAACACTTCAGGTGCGACGTAGTATGCGCTTCCTACTATATCCTGAAATTTCATTCCTGCCATTTTGACAAAATCACCTCCATTATCTATCATTCTGCTCTCAGAGACAAGTGAAACACTTACAACATTTACCTGGCTTTATGAAGTCTGACAAACCAAAATCTGTAGCCTTTAGAGACGAACCTTCTTCGGTTGATTTGAACAGAAAATTCTGAGAGGGTAAAAGGGATCATAAATCTTTTTAAAGTGATGAAGATTCTTTCACATATGGATTTGCAATTTCCAAGCATTGAATCAAACTGGACCGTACCTACCTCTGGCTTCATGTCGCGGTGCACTAGACCTCGTAAATGACACTCAGCTGCAACTTTCAGCATTTGTCTCACCACAACCGCTGCATCTTTCTCGGTGTAACGGCTATCTTTCCTATATACATATACACATAAAAATTGACTTGATGTAACTTCTCATCTTTTCCTACAGAGTTTTAACATTATTTTTCTGTTAACACAAACTACTGTTACTCTTACTTAGCTAGTATTCGATCTAGCAATTCACCACCTTCACATAACCTGGAAAAAGACAAAACTCATCAAAACCAGAGTAAATTCATTTTTTTCCTTGTTTCACAAGAAAATGGATGATAATAAAAACAGAGGCTTACTCCATGACTATGTAAATATAGTTGTTGTCCTCAAATGCATTGTGAAAGCCAACCACATTCTCATGCCCACCTAAAGCTTGTAGTATCTTCACCTCTCGCTTCACATCTTCCACTTCAATCGGTTGAGTCATCTATACCACACCAAACAACCCATGGAATTAGGCATTACTCAACCGCTTTCGCAACTAGAGATGGAACTTACTTGGTTTTCAAGCAATCACATTCGTTACAGGTTGGATTTTTAGGTTTACTAATAGAAATGGAACTTTTTCGAATCAAATTGATGATGTTTTTTCTTTTTTTTTTACCTTGGCCTTCTCGATTCTCTTGACTGCGACGCGATTGCCGTTGTTGTTATCGGTGGCGACATAGGTAAAGCCAAACTGGCCGTGTCCGAGCAATCTCCCGATGATGTATCGATTATCGAAATCCTTAGCGTAACCAAAATCGATGCGCTTACCGTACGGTATCCCTCCCCCGTGCCTCCATTGGATCTTGTTCTTGCTCTTCTTTGTCTTCTTCTTGTTTTTATTACTAGCCTTCCCCTGCGTCGGAGAATGAAGATTAGGGTTCCGGCGACTGGTGCCACGTCTGGTGGCTTTAGGAGAAGAGAAACAGAGACCCATGTGATGATCTTCGGGTCTCTAATGGAGTAGATTTTCACAGAAATGCCAGATTGCAAAGAAGCGAGACGTTGAGATGATTTCGAGACATGGGAGGAGGAAGAAGCAAGGTTTGTGGCTTTGTGCAATTAACAAGAACAGATCTTTTAAATTTTTTGTCTCATTTTAACAACATTTCTTTATTAACAAGATTGAGATATCAAATTTGTTCAAAGCTTTTGGAAACAAAGGACACATAAATCGTGTTGACAGATAAAATTGTTTTTCCATAGACAAACTATCTTCAAAGCTTGTACCGCACGAAAATGAACCACTATTTCGACAGTTATTAGCGCTGGCCATTCATTTCGGTTATTACCATTTAAACTTGTGAGTTGTTGACATGTTGTGTAGAGGAAACTTCCACTTTTTTACTTGAAAGATGACATGTTCCGATACAAATCATCCAAAAACAAACAAACAAAAAACCTAAAGAGTTTTGAACACTTAAGGGTTAACTATTTACAAACCTAACCAATTCAAACTCAGATTCTACCACAAAATGGTTAAAAGTTTCCTTCAAAGCAAGTTAGAACCAAGGATGCCATGTTGGATCCATCATACATAGGTTGCGAGGCGACAAAGCTGCCTCCACCAATTCACTCACACCTCTTTGTACAGACTGTGGCGGCTCCACCGAGTTCTCATCCTGTAATGAACAACAAAAAAGTATCAGATTCATCAGTTCAGAAAATGGACAAGACCATTTCTGAGTTTTCTGAGAATGTTGGTGGCATCAAAAACTCGGTGGAGATGTAAATGATGATTGTACCTCTTCAGAGCAATACTGTGGCGCTATTCCTCTGATTCGTCCAATGACATCGTCCACGTTTGAGTTAACTTTGTGCTTCAGCTCGGCTGAACTCAAAGTAGCAATTCCTGCAGCAGGAGGAACAGTCACTCCGAGAGGTCTTCTTCCAAACCATGACAGTAGCTCATCGCGAAAGAACATGGCTAATTGATACCGAAGATGTTCGTTTTGCTGAAAAATCGCAAAAGAGAAGAAGAGGTTAGAGGCAAAATGATTTTGAGTGCCCCACTCGAGCTTATGTAATATTTTTTATTACCTTGGAGGAAAAAACTGCTTGAGATGCGGAACACATGTTTGACATGAGAGGACCTTCGACACCAAAATGAGAGAGAAATGATTGCATGTTCCTTGTGAGGCGGAAAGGCACAGGTTCATTGAGCTCGATCATCCCATTGGAATCGTAAGATGGATGAAAGTCTGTCTGGAACATTTTTCCGGAATTTTTGGCGAACAAGATCTTGTTTGGGGATCTCCCACCAATTTGAAGAATGAAGGACATGAAATTGGAGACAGCTAGCTGGACAGCGAATTGCTTCTTGAAAGCCCAAAGATGACTTCCGCTCATCGATGTCTTGTACATGTACTGAGAGAATATAGTGTCATTGACTATGTTCTTTGTGATTTCACCATAAGCCTGTAGCCGAAGATCTCCAATTGCTTCTGGTGAGATTTGCCCTGTGATAGCTTGATTGAGTTTCTCCTTGAAGTAGGTAATAGGAAGATCTGACTCTCGACCATTCCTTCCACAGTGATTCTCATACACCTCAAGGAAAGTGTTGTACATGAGATCATCCTCAACCATTCGGACCTGAGACGGAAAATGTTAGCATGCCGTACTCCTTGAGAGATTTACCTACTCTTATTATGGAAAGCCAAAAGAAGAACTAAGTTGAATATGTGAAATTTCAGAGCAATCAACAACGGAAAGGGGAACTACGCTGATATTTTCAGGCATACCTGAGACCAGACAGGGATTATGATCGGAGTGTGAAGTCCTAAATGGCGTCTTCTCGACTCTTTATGCTTGTCAAACATTTGATTCATCACACGGAAAAGCTGCAAGATTCGTTCATCACTCCTCGCATTAGGAGTTAATGATGTTTGAACAATAAAATGCTTTTGCGAGCCATCAGAGCCAATAAGAGTCAAACGTCTGCAGCTGCTCCCATGCCTTCGTACAATTTGTATGTCTGCTCCAATCCTATCCAACTTTACTGTATGATCAGGTGCAACTTCCTACGCAGTCAAACATATGGTTAGTTCACAACCCAGCACAAAGAGAAAAGAAAAGAATGACGGGCAAAACTTATATAATTTACAGCCCCTCTAGAGAATGTAAACATTGAAGGTAAACAAGAGACGAGGATAAACAATCCAATATACCTGGTCAGCAAAGTACTGTCCTGGTATCTCCACATCAACAACATTGAAGTCGCGCAGCACCTTGCTCTCGTCTTCCAATCTCAACAGAACGGGGAACCTGTCTTCAACATTGCTCTGAAGAATGTTTTTCCAGTCTTTCAGTTTCTTTGTCAGATCTGCGAGTGTGACAGGGAATGAATTACTTTCTGGATCAAGGTCACGCTCGAAATCCTGTTTGTATTCTCTCACAAATGCGACATGCTTGGTCACGGCATCTGCAGAAAAACAAGCTCTGCACACGCCCGAGAGTTCTTTCTTGAGCGGTTGGGGAACTTCAGCAGTGGTGGCAGTTGGATATTTGTAACATCGATGCAACAAAGCATTCACAACTGCGAGAAGTCTTTCTTCTGGTAAAGTAACAAACCTCGAACCTATTTCTGTGAGAAGAACCTGAGAGGAATTATACAAAATTAGATTATCCAAAGAAAGTAGGGAATGTGCAATTAAGTCAAAATGAGAATCCACGTTACTTGTACCAGACAGTAGTTTTCATTCTCTTTTTTTTTTTTCGGATTTATCAATACCATGAAATTTTTTGTATGAGAATGTAAAGAAATCAATCAGTATATTCACCAACAGAATACTACCTCAAGTTCACTGGCCAAGTTGTTATGTTTACTCCTAAGAGATTCCATAACATCCTTTGCAGCATCAAAAGCACCAGCAGCAGAGATTGCCAAGGAAGCACCATTCCGTAATGCAGCGTGTTGACTATTTTCACTGATAGTTGAACTGCTTTGGTTCATAGGCTGATCATTCCCTGAATGCACATTGTTTTCCATAGTGGCACGTTCACTTTCTTGCGCATGTAGATTACCACCATCATGGGTTCCAACAGCCCCACTAGTTTCATGACCCGCACTAACACCAGGAACATTCTGCTGCATTCTTTGAGCCAAAACTACTCTGCTAAGCTCAGATTTATTTACTGCATCCCGGCGTTCCAGTAAATATGTGCGAAGCCAGTAATAGAGAGCCTGAAATGGAAAACAATCTCATACTCATGAAATGGCCAAAAACAAGTTCATCGACAAAATTAGTAAAAGGAATTTACCTGAGGGAATACTGCAGCAATTTTCATCAGAACCAATTTGCAATGGGGTGCTTCTGTTCGCTGCAAGGAAATCAACAGCTGTGGGATCCAAGAAAGCCATACCCAGTGAGGTACTTGGTCCAAGTGTTTATCAAATATTCTACCAACAGGCTCATTTGTTGTATCGAAACTAAGAAGATAAAGAACACGAGCCATGTGACTTCTGGAATTGGAAACTCCAAATCTTATACCCTGAAGAAAGCAACTGACAGCATATTCTAGCCAGATTTCATCTTGTGTATCTTGGTATGCCTGCAAAACGAAAGTAAAATATAATGTCTAATATGAGGAGAGAGACTGTTAATAGCGCAGGAAAAGAAGCAGCATCTAATCAGAAGAAATACCATGTCACAGTAATTTCCCCAGCTTATCCATCCTTTGGGTAAATTCTTGAATAGGGTGATTGCGTTGGAATATGCAATATTAGCACCTTCAGTGTCGTTTAGCTTCAAATGAAAATCCCCCTTTAGTCGAAATATCTCTGCCTTGTTCTTCGCTAGAAAAAACTCCAAATTTGTGCTATTAACCAGATTAAGACCAGTAGCAAGCTCTCCTTTCGTTTCCAGATGAGCTTTTGCTTGCTCTTTAATTTTAACAAAGGCTTCCTGCATACACAAACGTGACCAAGACAACTTTAAAAATAACAATATTTCAAGCTCAAACAAACACAGATTCAGGGAACGAAAACTTATTATATAGGATCATGGCAAAGAATGAGGTGGCATACATGGCTTCAAATATCACACGCATGTTAATGGGTGGATTAACAGCTACGCCAAGAAATATTTTAACAAACTAGGGAACGTTAAAAAAAAAACGAACAAAACAAAGCAAATTAATGTGAAAGCAGTTCTTTATAGAATCATGCAATTAAATGAACTCTGCTCAAATTCTAATGAAGTTAAAGGTCTATGAGAACTGTACCTGTACTTCCATTTGTGAGTGCCCATACATTTTTTCAAGTATCTGAACGCAAACATCATAAAGCCCTTGTTTCCGAGCTATTCTAGCAAGCTTATTGACGTTCCATGCTTTGTCACGATAACCGAGGTGGTGAAGTGGAGTATTTGAAGTTATAAAGTCCTTAAATGCATCAATAACAACGTTATACATTTCATTCCTCCACTGCAGCATATCATACCAGACGGTCATATTGTCCCATTCATTTGGAGTCCTCAGCCTCCAAGTCTCTAGAATGTCCTTCAGATCTGCATATAGATTTCCCTGTCCCCCAACAGCAGCATTTCCAGGAACTTTACTCCCATTTGCGATGTCAAGATAAATTCTAGAAGATTCTTGCACCTCCACTAGTTGTTGGAATTGCTGCAGTAGAGGCACCCTAGCCTGAAGAGACATTTCCGGTAACTGCCACCACTGTTCCAAGGCAAGATCAACGCCTTTCCCTACTATGTTTTCAGCATCTCCGACACCATTTGCATTTTTTTCATGAAGGGAAAAACAAGCTTGAACCAAACGAAGCTTCGGCGTCTCTTCCACTTGTGCTTTGGGTATCACATGATCCTTCAAGTATGTCCAATCTGGAGCTTTCCAAAGACTATCAAGCAAAATTTCATAATTCTCAGTGCTTTTTCCAAAATCCACCAGGGCATCCCACTGACCAAGTTGAGTGGCACAGTGGAGCCATTGCTCCTCCCACAGGCACATTTCAGCCTTAGGTACGGTGTTATTGTAAGTGCCTTGGGTTGCCTTAACCATCGCCTGATAAAAAAGGCTCTGAGCACGCTGCCAAAAACCATGTTGAACCATTGAAAGTCCAGCTCTCGATTCGGTAGTGATGGACCTATTCTTCCACAATCCAAATCTCCTGTCTTCTTCATTTAACAAACGATAAAGTTCAGCAAGAGACTCAGCACATTTCACGTCATTCATGAACAGCATGACATGGGTCTCTAGTAAAGTCAATGCGAGATGCCATGCATTGTATGTTTTTCCTATATATTTGA